GTCTGATAGAAAAGGTTATTCCCCACAGGTTAAGGAGAGAGAGAAAGAGAAAATACAAAATTTGGGAACAGGCAAAGAAATACAAATGTCCTTTCAATGTAATGCAGAGTGTTGACTAGCTGACCCACCATGCTTAGGGATTATCTGATTTTCTAAGAGTATTTACCTATTGTTTGGCTTCTATTAATCAGGATATTTTACAATACTGTAAGAGTAGATGTTGACCGATCGAAAACCATAAAAATGGAAATGATCACCACTGCACTCCAACCCCAGGCAATAGTGCGAGATTCTAAAAAAAAAAAAAAAAAAAAAAAAAAGAAATGATCGTGATGAGAAACATTGTATATCTATTTGTTGTAATTAAAAAAAAAAAAAGGCCCGGCACAGTGGTCAGCGCTGTCAATCCCGCACTTCGGAGCCGAGCAGGCGGATCACGAAGGTCCACGGAGATAAGACCATCCTGGCTAAATGGTGAGAACCTCTGTCTCTATTAAAAATACAAAAAAACTAGCTGGCATGGTGGTGGGCGCCTGTATCAGCTACTCGGAGGCTAGGCAGGAGAATGGTGTGAAGCCCCTCGCAGGGGGCAGAGCTCCACAGTGAGCCGAGATACGCACCACCTCGCACTCCGTCTGGGCGAGACAGACTCCGTCTAAAAAAAAAAAAAAAATAGCCAGGTGAGTGTGCTCATGCCTGTAATCCCAGCACTTGGGAGGCGAAGGCAGTAGATCTACCTGAAGTCAGGATTGTCAAAACCAGCCTGACCTACACGGTGAAACCCTGTCTCTATTAAAAGTACAAAAAATTAGCCAGGCATTGGGGTGGGCGCCTGTAATCCCAGCTACTTGGGAGGCTACTTGGGAGGGGCAGGAGAATCACTTGAACCTAGGAAGCAGAGATTGCAGTGAGCCGAGATCATACCACTGCACTCCACCTGGGTGACAAGAACGAGACTCCGTCTCAAAATAAATAAACAAATAAGTGTTTGCTGTTTAAGCCACCCAGTTTATGGCATTTTGTTATAGCTGCTAGAACTGGCTAACATAACATTTTAATCTAATCATGATCATATTGTGGAGTACAAGGTAAATTATTTAGATAAGAGAACAATGTATATTACTCTTATCCAACAACAATACCAATGATTTCTGTCTGATAGAAAAGGTTATTCCCCACAGGTTAAGGTTTATTGCCTTGTAGAATATTAACCAATTTTGAATCTATTCACTAATTCATTTTAGCATTCCTTTGACTGATCAACTATAAATCTCCCTTCTTTGAAATTCCTTTTGAACTACTCCTAATGTCTTACTGGTTCTCTCATTACTAAAGTTGAATAAAATCTTTTACACATGTTCCCTTTATATTTGTGTAGAATTCATACTTTTAACTCCGTGAAAATTATATATACTTTAACAGTATCCATGTCAGGACCTTACTGGGGGGCAGGGAGGTCTAACAGAATGGGTACACACAATGAGTAGACTGTCATCCTAATTGAGTCACCCACTGATAATGTGGCCATGCGTAAATCATTTAACTCCTCTCAGCCTCCATTTCTTCAATTCTAATATTCCTACCACATCATAATTATTTATGTGTCTGCCTTAACAACACTGCCACCCTATAGATTTTAAGTCCCTTGAGACCTGCTCTGCCCCGCCCAACTCAGCTACATTTCTTACCCAGTGGAGATGCTCAGTAAATATGCATTGGGGCAAAATGAAAGGTAGGGGAATAGATGAAGTTTTGCTTTGCTTTTTTAAGCAACTGAGCTCATTTTTCAAAATTATGCATAGAATTCCAATATAAAACATGTAAATGGGTTACAACAGTTCCTCAGGCAATTTAAACTTTCATTGTTCTCCCAAAAACCCTTGATTACATGTGGAACCCTTGAAGCACCTCCTGGAAGCCCCAGGTCTCCTCAGAGCCTTGAGTCCATCTAACTTCAAAGGCCTCGCCCAACTTTAAAATTCTACAAGTGGGATGCCATTATAAGCCCATGGGTAACCTCTGGGGCTCCACTCTCCGACTTGACTACAACTTCAGGGTATAAGTGTGAGGACTGTGAGTGGGAATGATGACACTGGTTCCAAGCCTGGCCTTAAAGCATCAAGGTCACCTCTGAGGTGCGGCAGCCCTGAGCCATGCAATGTCTATAATGAAAGAAAAGTAGCTGCTAGTTTCAGGATTCCTGAATGTTCACAGCAAAAAATGCAACCCAAGACTTCTCCCTGCATGAGCTGCCTGGCCATCTCTTAGCCCTATCATATTGTGGTATACAAGGTAAATTACTTAGATAAGAAAACAATGTATATTATTCTTATCCAACAACAATACCAATGATTTCTGTCTGATAGAAAAGGTTATCCCCACAAGTTAAGGTTTATTGCCTTGTAGAATATTAACCAATTTTGAATCTATTCACTAATTCATTTCAGCATTCCTCTGATTGATTGCTGTCTTCCCAGGCAGATGTGGACATAGCCTCTCTTTTTCCCCTATCAGAAGACTTCTGAGAGGAGCACAGCCTGAACTATTTTAGGTATCTCCCTCCCTTTCTGGATTTTCCATGGGAATTGGCATGCAAAGGGGTAATTCTGGACATAAATGCCATTGATATTCACAAGAGAGAGAAGCACAAGGAGACATCAAGAAAGGTTAGAAGAAGGAAGAGGACCATGGGAGGTGTGGGCACTGATATGGTTTGGCTGTGTCTCCACCCAAATCTCATCTGAACTGTAGTACCCATAATCCCTACATGTCACAAGAGGGACCCAGTGGGAGGTAACAGAATCATGGGGATGGTTACCCACATGTTGCTGTTCTCCTAATAGAAAGTTCTCACAAGATTTGACAGTTTAATAAAAGGCTTTCCCCCCTTTTGCTCAGCACTTCTCCATCCTGCCACCATGTGAAGAAGGATGTGTTTGCTTCCCCTTCCACCATGATTGTAAGTTTCCTGAGGCCTTCTCAGCCATGTAAAACTGAGTCAACTAAACCTCTTTCTTTTATAAATTACCTGGTCTTGGGTATGTCTTTATTAGCAGTGTGAGAACAGACTATTACAGTACATTGGTAATGGTAGAATGGAGTGCTGCTATAAGGATACCAAAAATGTGAAAGTGACTTTGGAACTGAGTAACAGGCAGAAATTGAAACAGTTTGGAGGGCTCAGAAGAA